TATATTGCCTCCCTTCTTTGAAGAGGTTACAGGAGAATAAACTTTCCAAAAAGTAAGGAAGAAACTATAATTGGATTCTGGGGCAAATGACTACATAAGGTCATGCTTCAATAAGCCCATTTATTTCCATCAAATAGTAATATTAAATAATAAATGGAAAAAAGAAATAAAATATATAGTTGGGCTCCAATGTGAGAGACATATATCCATGAAGTTGAAATGCACAGAAATGCAAAATGGTAAATGATCCTGAGGCTACTGACTTGCTGAGATCTGGATGTAAATACAGGCAGTAGCAGCATCCTTATCCTATTCCATAGGATAAATTCCATATTATCCTATAGAATAATAGAGACTAAAGTGCTTTAAGAGGAGATGAGGATCAGAGACAAGATCTGCTTAGAGCAAGGACTGAGGGTGGGGGTTCCCTGTCATCAAAAGAACCTAGGGAAAAAAGGCTGCTGCAAAACTTTCTGGGAGATAGTGTATTATAGGCCTAGAGTAGTGAGGAGTATGGGCACAGGAATCAGAAGCAATGCTAAGCTATCCTGGCTATCCTGCTGACTTTTTGGTCACTGGATCTTCCATATCCTCAATATTTACCAGGTCCTAAGCTGAAGATATGGGTAGAGACAACTGCAAAAACCACTCCTTAGGGAGATGTGAGCATAGTGGGAGTTTGGTGGTGGTGGTGGTAGTGGTGGGGTGGTCAGGAATGGAGAGAGAAAAAACAGAAAATTTCTTCTTCAAAGTGATTTTACAAATTAAAATTTCAAAACATGTAAAGAAATCAAAAGCTAAAAATGATACTAAACAAAATTAACAATTATAACTTGAATTCACTTCAAATGAAACTTATTTTACAGAATAGTCAAAGATTTTAAAATAAGCATACTGAGAATATTCAAAGAAACAATAAAAACAGAAAAACCGAATAAGGAATTATAAATCAGAATAGGCAGAAATAAAACAAGAACAGGTGGATATGAACAAAATTAGAAATCTTGACAGTTAAAAATATGTAGTCATTGAAATATTGAAAAAGACAGAAAAAATCTAAGTTAGATGTGGTCAAAAGGTGAATTTATGAATGCAAGTTACTTGCGGGGAACTCAGAATTAGAGCAGTAAGATAAAATGATAAAAAATGATAAGAAGTCAGGTAAGAACCATGGAAGGCCACTTGAGAGAATCCAACAATCATCTAATAGAAATTATTTAAGAAGAGAATAAAAGAAATGCAGGAAAAACAATATTTAAGGAGATAATTTACCAATAATTTCTCAGAAATAAAGACAGACATATTCTCAAGTGGAAAGTATACTCAGAGTACCAAATGGGGTAAATAAAAATAAATTCATACCTAGATACATCCAAGTGAAAAAACAGAACATTAAGATTTTTAAAAACCTTGAAACCTATCCAGGAAAAGATGTTACCAAAAGCAATAATGGTGGACTTCTCATCAGCATCTTTGATGTCAGAAAATAATGAAAAATATCCTCAATATACAAAGGAAAGTCCTCAAATTAGAATTTATATCTAGCCAAACTATCACTCCAGAGGGAAGTCAAAATCAGGACGTATATAGATTTAGAGGGTTGCCCATGGATTCTCACTAAATTAGCTATTAAAGAATTCACTTTAGTAAGGTAACATAAGATAATCTTGGGATATGATAAGCAGGAGAACACAAAAAATCATAAGCTATGTAGGAAAGTCAATTATCTAATGATGATGGTGATAATGATGATAATAATGATAATGATAATACATTGTTTTTCTTTTTTGCAAAAGTTTAACTTAAAAGTTGGAATAAAACCAGGTGTTGACGGGATGTTCAATAGGTAGTTAAAACATGTTAAGGCTCTTTTGGTGCTGAAAGAATGATAGAAATTTTGAATAACTGTGGACTTTGTAAGAAAATGTGTAGTCAAATATATATCCAAAGGATAACCAGTTAAGGTTAGAAAGAAAATCTGTAGCATCCAAATCTGCAGATAGGGTAAAAGAAAAAAGCAGGTTATATACATATAATGTAATCCAAAAAAGGGAAGGCCAAAAGAAAAAAAATGAATGATAAGCAGAAAGCACAAATATGGTGCAGGAATGTGTTCAAATATATCAGTAATTATAATAAATATAAATAGGTTAAATTCACCTATCACAATACAGGAATTATTCAACTTTATTTTTTTTAAAAAGAAAATAATTGTGCTTTCAAAAGATAACTAGTAAAAGGTAAAGGGAAAAGCATATTTCCTTACCAATTATAACGACAATATTAAAATTAAGATTTCTTATAAATATGAGAGTTTGGAGTTAATGCAGAGTAAGAGTGGTAGGCCAATGAAATAGTACAGAGAGCTCAGAAATATCTGTGTATGGAAAAATTAATATGTGACAGATATATAATTGCTAATAAGTAAGTAAGAGAAAGGATGAATCAGTTTTTGTATGGTGCTGAGACAACAGATTATCCGTATGTAAATTAAAAAATAATTGAATAAGTGAGTAATTTAAGGACCAAAATCAGTCCTAAATGAGATAAAGACCCAAGTATGACACAAAATTAGACAATTCTTAGAAGTAAATACAGAAGAATATGATATCTAGGTAGGGAAGGATTTCTTAAATAAGTCACAAAAACAAAGCTCATAAAGCAAGAGACTGATAAATTTAACCACATTAAAATAAAAAAAAAAACAACCTTCCATTATAATCCAAATAAAAAACCCAAGCAACAATCTGTGAGAGGATATTTGTAATGCAAATAAGTGACAAATTGATATTGAGAATAAAAAGAAACTTAATAAAAAGAAAGAACTCAACAGGAAATAGACAAAAGATATGAAAAAGTCAATTCACAGAAGAGTATACCGAAGTGGCCAATAAACATATGAAAAGATACTTAATCCCACCTCTAATCGGGAAACATATATTATAAAAGCAATGGGATATCATTTCACATTTATCATGATGGCTGGTAGGTAAAACTTTGTAAGTCTGACAATTCCTAGTGTTTGGGAGTCAGGGAAATGGAAACTTACATGTTGTTGTTGGAACTGTAAATTTGTTTAACTACTTAAGAAAACAATTGCCATTATGTAGTAAATTTGAAAATGCATATAATCAGTAATTCCTCTCTTAAGTATACACCCTAGAGAAGTTCTCATACTTATGCACAAGAAGAGATGCACAAAAATGCTCTTAGTAGCACTGCTTGTGATTGCAAAATACTGGAAATATCCTAAATTATGATGAATAAAACGAATAAATTGTGATTTAATCATATATGAAATACTATATAGCAGTTCAAATGAATGAAAAAGAGCTACATGTAGCTATATGAATGAATATATAATAGTATAATAATATAATAATATTATATGAGTAGGGGAAAAGTCACAGAATAATATTTATAGTGTGATACCTTTTATAGACATTATAAAAGAACATCAGTTATATTTTTAGATACATAGATATGAAGAAACATTGAAATCATTACAGTGGTTACCTATAAGGTGAAAGGAAAGAGATGCAATCAGGTATAAGTAAAGTCTCAACTAGATTTATAAATTGTTTTAAATAAGAGACTCTTTGGCATAAATGGCATGATGTTGATATGATAAAGTCAAAGTGTTTCGGGGGAGGGGGAGGCAGTAAATGGCCGTTCATTATATCTCTACTCTTTTCTGTATATACTAAACTATTCGCAATAAACAAAATAAGAGTTTAAGAAGATAACACAGATTGTTAAGGCTTCCAATTTCCCAACCGGCACTTTTGAAGACTCTTGGTAGGTCACACAACTGAGCCACTCTAGTTATATTAACTCATGATTTGGAATTTCTATGTATGTTAATCACAAATATGTTATACATAGCTCATTCTGATAGATTTTTCAAACTAGTTCACCTTTGTTCTTCCCAAGCCAAGTTCAAAAAGCTCTATCAGGTGGAAATATAGTAATCACCTGAACTGGGTGGATCCCACTTACTTTTGTAGTCACTGTCTTATGCCTTGGTTATAGAGACCAGATAACTAGCCTTTGTGCTAGGATAGTGCCCGCACAGGGCAATTTCTCAGTCTCCTTAGAAGTGAGCCAACCAGCCCTGGGCTATAGCATCACAGGCTTGATGGAAGGCAAGGATGACATGGAACAGCCGTATTGGTTACTTAAATACTGAAATACCTTCATATTTATTGGTAATTAGTCAATTTTAGAGCCTGCCAATCCTATGGCTCCTCCCCCAGGATCCCAACACCTCAGTCTGATTATTATCAATGGGTGAAGATGAATCACATGCCCACTCTTGAATGCTCATTAACTCTGCTGTTAACTTCATCTCCTTGGATTCCAAGAGAGAACAGTATCTCTTAGTTTTGCTTCAAGTTCTCAAACCAAAATAAAATATCTTTTTGGCCAAACTAAACCGTTCAACGTATCTCTAAGCTAAATACCAGGACTAAGGGAAAAAAAGGACCTTTTGATCCATGGCCACAGCTTTGTTTGAGGACTTGACCATCTCCTAAAGGTGAGAGACAAGAGTCATCCCGACCCTCAGTTTGGAAGAACAAACTAGGTCACTTTTCCAGACTAGACCTTCATAAGCCACCTTCCCTTCATTCCATGCCACTTAGCCAAGCAGCTTCCCCATTCCCCATGATTTTAAAACTTATTTCTCAGGTGACCAAGGAACTTCCTTGACACTTGAATCCACCAAGTGATTTGGTGAGAACTTGACCCTGGAATATGCAGCAACATCAGAGTATCAGCCCTGCCATCTGCAGAGTCAAGAGGAAGCAGCAAGAGCTGAGAGTGAGAAAAGAAACTGCCTGTGGGGCAGAGGATGTGGGGAGAAGCGTCGTTCATGGCGCAAAAGAGCTGCTGTTCATTCAGGGGGTCGGAGGACGGCGGGGATTGCATTTGGATAGGCAACCAGGCATCACTCTGGGAAATAAGGGAAAAGCCAAAGCACAAAGGCCACAACTACTCACCGGGGCTGGTTATTGTCAGGAGATCAAGCTGCCGCTGTTGCTGCAAAAGAAAACACCTTGTGAGAGCACTGATTTGAGTCAGAGCCAAACTTGTGCTTAGTGGGTCAGGGTGGACGTACAGAGGGCATGTTCAGACACCAGAGCAGAGTCTACTGTAGGTAACTTGGTGCTCACTCACAATTCTGCAGAGAGACAAAGGGAATGGGCAGCCTTTTTGTTCTTGGGCGGTCAGAGCTAAGAGGGTCTTAGAGATCTTCCACTCAAGCCTATAGTATACTTAGGGAAAAGCCGTGGGCTCATTTGTTTGTTCCAGATGGCCTTAGATTTTTCTCTGCTCATGCCAGCTGCACTGTTAAGTGTCTGATATCCTGGCAATCTTCTTTGTCTTGGGTCCTTAAGTCACTGTCACTCTCCTGATATACCTTTCTAACCAAGATATTCCTGAGCTGCTTTATTTCTTGAATTTGCTCAGCAATGCTATGACAATTTCAATTACTATCAAACTATTCCTTCTCTAAGTGATTCCTCATTGCTTCATATCACACACATTCAAGGAAAATATTTGCTGGGCACACTAAGCTATGAAGATGAGACTATGTGTGTTTGGAGGCAACAGGCTTTGGCAACCCCAAGGGCAGAGGTGATCAATATTTCAGGAGGCTTGCTCCCCATCACAGCATAGTCAAGGAGAAGCTCTGTTCTAGACAATGTCACAGGAATCGGAGGGTGGAAAAGTGTGTATTGGAGGCTTGGGGTGGGGAATGGTGAGCAACTTCCTTAAAAACTTAAGTTAAGATTCCTTAAGTCGACTTCCTACATTTTATTTTCCACAAATACTATTGAAAATCGGTAATTTTTTTCTTAAAAGGGGTCCAGACAAACTCCACTTTGAGAACCATTGCCATAGGCTACACATTGCAGGAGCTGATGATTACCTGGTATTTAATCTAATGGATACTTTGCCCTATTTCACTTTATCTGTATTTCCTTTTTATCTTGCCTCTGTCTTCAAGACTGGTTTCCTGAAATTCTATTAAGGAGAAAGGAGAAGGCAGCCACATTTTTTGAGTATCAACTATAGGTGAGGCACAGTATCGGGAGCTTTGATGTGTTATTACTTTTCATACTTTTGACAATCCTACAAGGTTGGTATTGTACAGCAGAGGGACATGAGGTTTAGAGAGGAGAAATGATCTACCCAAGACTACATCTTCATTAAATGGCAGGGCCAGAATTAGAATTCGGTCAGTGTAATCCTGCCTTGAAAGACTAAAATATGACAGTACACATAAATCATTATGGTGATGCCTGGCACTTAATAAGTGCTCAATAGAAAGAAATGTTTGTATTGATGTTATTATTATAGAGCACGTGACCCTTGGTTTATATAAGCTACCTCTTCCCTTTTCTTAAAATTACGGAAACTTAGAGGTCAAAGGTCATTGAATCTGACCTGCTACGGAGGCAGGAATCCCCTCTGCAATGTCCCCACCAGTTGTACGAACTGCTTCTGTTTCATCCCTTTTCTTGATGGGGAACTCACTACTTATCGGTTGGGTAGCTCTTCTTTGAATGGAGTTAAAAGTTGCTTCCTTATGATATCCCCACTCTTTCTAGCTGCATCAGCCCACAGCGACAGTTTGGACAGATGAAGAAGATCTGTGTTTTCTTCTCTCCAGGCTAAATATTCCCAGTTTCTTTGTCTTTTCCTCATAAGACCTGGTCTCAGCTCTCCTTACCCTGTGATCACCCTCCTCCTCCATTTAAATGAGATCTGTTTTAGTCAAAATCTCTTTAAGATCTCTACCCCTTGCTTCACTGACTTCTCATCAGCCTAAATGCAGATCTGTATCCTTTCACAGCCTTCTCAATCACACATCCTTGTTTTCTTGCCAGCTTATAAGTCATTCCAGTTGACATCAAGCAAACTATGCAACTCCAACATGTCATTGACCTACATTGTGAACACACATCCTTGTGCTGAAATGAAACACACGCCCACGCACGTGGGCTAGAAGGAATGCTGGAGCCAGACCGCCTTCCTTCCAGAGCACAGAACTAGGCCAGTGGTACAACTGGCTCAAGCTGCCTTTGCCCAGGCCAACCTGTGTGGCTTGGCACTTTCTTCAAGCAAGAAGAAAAAATACAATGTGTCTGTTTTTCTATAAGTTCGACTTTGTGACTGCTCTTGGTGAAGAAGTTCTATTTATCTGAAAAGTGTCTATTTCCTAATGAAAGCTGTTTCTAAATGATGACTCTCTGTCTAGGGTCCAGTAGAGAAAAAAGGGAAGAAAACCTGACAGCAGCAGACATTCCTGGCTTGTGTCCTGGCTCCTCTGTGTGGCTTTGGGTAACTTACTTTATGTCTCTGGCCTCAAATTTCACACTTCTAAAATGAGCGAGAGACTGAAATACCTTCAGTGACTCTTGAGTCAAATGCAGCCAGGTACTGTGTTTGTGGGCTCCCTCTTCTGGTATAGAGAGTTCCCTGAGAATCCTTGTAGCCAGGACACTGCGGGCTCAAAGGACAGAGTCAGAATTGAAAAGGGACCAATTTCAAGCTTTTCTTTCACACTGCAATTTTCAGTGCATGTATGTCTTCCTCGCTAGCTGAAGAGCATCTTAAGGGCCTGGAACATCTGTTATTCACTCCATGGCGAGAGTAGCCCTCAGTAAACATTTGCTTAAACTCAAGTGAACCATTCCTGAAATCCACATTATCCTTTCAAACCACCATGCCTTTACTTATGCTGACCTCCCCTGCTTAATCTCTTATGGTCTTCACGGCAGCCCCTCCTCATTTCTCAAGACCTCCATGAGGTCGTCTCTGCACACCAACTGCCAACCCTAACCCCCTTCTCTCCCTTTTACAGAGCAGAATAAGTATTTCACATTATGGTCTTCCAATACATCTTGTAAAACATACCTTTTATCTCATGCTCTGTCTTGTTTCCTTCTCTGTTTCTCACAAGGTCCCTACTCAAGGACAAGACAATGTCCTTTCATCTGTATGTCTCCAGTGCCCAGCACAAAGGCCTGGAAGGAAAGTCTTCCAGTTCAAATGATTCAACTATTCAATTATTCTCTCTGCAGCGATGCTTTAGGTCGGAATTCATGAGCATGGGAGCATGCCCCTTCCTGTCTAGGACTTTCCCTCTGCCATGCCTTTGGAGTTCTTGCCTTTATGACTTTGCTCTCAACACTTCCTCATCCAGAGATACTGTCTATCCACCTCCTCTGGGAGACTTTCCTTCTTTTACACCCACCCACAGGACTGTGTCTTTTTGACTCCCACAGTTCCTATGGCCTGTGCCAGTCCTATGGTGATGCATTCAATCTGACCTGTTGACAAGCCCATTTAACCTACTGACATATGTGTGCACCACCTAGTGGTCCAAGCAGATAAGTGTAGGCTATTGTTTTAACCTGCAGCCCTTAGAATAAGATTGCAAAATCTGCATGTTCTATACGCAAATAAAAACAAAAGTGTACTTTAAAAAATCACTGTGCAATAATCTTTACCTAAGAAACTGGAATGTTCAAGTAATTCCCTCACAGTTCTTCAAAAATAAAAAGAATGAAATGAAAGTAAATTTCCACTACTAAACAGTCTCCCTAGTATAATCATTTGAGATTGCCAATGGAAACTGTGTGGCATTGTGAAAATAAGGCACATGAGTTGTAGAATTTGACCAATAATGTATGATCAGTTTTACATGGCGGGGGGTGGGGGGGATCCTAGATATAAAGAATTACCAAATATTATAATTAGTTACCAAGAGATAAGGGGCTTTTATATGACGATATATTATATAACTGCCTGGAAGGAAAAATATGCAATGTAGATGGAGGAAATGAAATCAGTGATCTAGGCAGGTTTCATCAGCTGGGGCTGGCAGGACTGGTGGCTGAGAGCTGAGCGGTTGAACCACTAGCCGATCAGATATTACAGTCTAAGGAAGGCAGGGCCTTCACATGTGTGGTAGCGGTTGTGTGTGGGTATGTTGCAAGTGGGGGGCATTCCTCCTCAGGTGAAGGAATTGTACACCTAGACAGAGGAAAATGTGTTCAAGTGTGCCTATATGGTCTTCCATAGACTCTTAGAGGAGTGTGGGTATACCAGGGTTGATGTACGGACTCCTGGTTGTGTACGACCCTACATCCAGCCTACCCTGGTAGAAGTGGTGCCCCACAGACATTTAGAAGAAACCCACTTCTGTGCTTAATCTCCATGGGATGAATGCTGCATCATGACTCCATAAAGACCATTGAGGGGTGGGGGGTTCCAAGGTCAACAGGAGCAATCTCTAAATATCACTTCTGTGCTTAACCTCCATGGGATGAATGCTGCATCATGACTCCGTAAAGACCATTGAGGGGTGGGGGTTCCAAGGTCAACAGGAGCAATCTCTAAATATGGTGCCTGTCAGGGATGGCCAGAGCGTCTACAGTGCACACTTAAGGAATTGTCTACCAGCATCCTTGCTCCAAGAGTTACCCATATTCTTCCATGCATCTAGTGGAAGCTATTTTGTTAATACAATGTCACCCCACCTCTGGTCACAGTTGACTGTTTCAAAGGTGGAAGAACTGAAAGATGGGCCAATTAGAAACCTTATCCAGGGATTTTGGAATTTTTGTGGGTTCAATTTATTCTCAATAAAAACTATTGTTGTTCTAAGTTAAAAAACCTATCTTTATTTTTTTTTTGTAATTGAAAACAATATATGCTTATTTTTGTCATTTTCCAAGTGTTTAGAAAATTCAAAAGTAAAAATTAATGAAAAAGTAAAAATTCAAAAGTAAAAATTAATGAAAAGTAAAAATTAATGAAATCCCACCACTGAAAGAGAACCATAGTTAGCATTTTGGTGTATTTTCTTGTCATCTCTCTCACTTGGGTATATTTAATGAGAACATATTTACATATAATAAAGTATGTTTTAATCTCGTACAACATTGTTACTTTTTTTTCGCCCCAGGCCATCTTTGGCTTGAAGCATGTGGGTGTAACTCACATATATTTATTGTCATAACTGA